GAGAGAGAGAGAGAGAGAGAGAGAGAGAGAGAGAGAGAGAGAGAGAGAGTGTAAGGGGAACAGCCCACGCTTTAGCCACTCAGAAACGCTTTCCACCTGTGAATCATTTTGCACATTCAGTTTTGCTGACATCACGTTTACAGACACAGTGTGTCTCAATCCTGGTTCTGGAGGCCTCTGCAGTGACTTATTTAATAATACACATGATTTATATAATCAGGCTCATTAGTAAAGGCCCTAATACCTAAACTGGGTTTTCCAAATGAATTCAATACTTAGGTGGGCCAGAATCTATGAGATTCATTCACTTTATGACCTCTGTAGATGCATATTTTTTTTGCTAGCTTAGTCATTGAAGTCAGTATTATGTACCGCTTATAAGTCAACATTTTAGCAACCTTTAGAAAATCGCAAATTTCAAAATGACGAGATGAGGGGGATAATGTGACATTGTCTATTGATAGACCACAGATATTCAAACTAACTACAGGTCCTTCCCTAGTTCCTCTATCTCATCAAGGAAGAAATCCATGTCCTTGGTGGTCAGCTGAGGAGAAACAACAACCATACGGAAGAAGTTGACGTGTCCATCCATGGGCTGGTATCCCACCATCATGGTTCCACGCTTCATCATTCTCTCTTTGATGACTGGCGCCACCTGATGGCGTACATTGGACATGAGCAATCATTCTGTGCTCAGTAATGAAATTCTCTGCCATATTATTTGTTATTCTACATTTAAACGAAGCCGACCTTTGATAACCTTTCCTGGTAATCCGCACTGTTCTCCTTCCCTCTCAGACTGGGTGGAATGAACCAGAAGCAAACGTTCACAAAACGCCCCTATTGGAAAGCACACACCATATTTAAATATATAAACATGCATTATATTTACGTAAACATAAGTATACTACTTCAGGTTTGTATACAGTGCAACACTGTACCTTACAGACCAACTTGAAATTCTCCCTTTTCTCCATTTCTTCAACTAAATACCTGGTGCAGACATAAATAATATATTATTAAAATACACATATATATATATATATAAAACATAAATAAATTAAATAATATATACAGTAACATTCAAAAGTTTGGGGTCAGTGAGTTTTTTTATCTTTTATTTACAGTTTTGTTCAAATGCTAACATCCTTTTGTCCAATCTCTAGTCACATTTTCAAAACTCTAAACACAATAAGCACAACATCCATCTGTTGTGACCATACCATTAACACAATTCAAGTTGTTTTCACGCAATATGCGGTCAATTAC